TAATTTTAAAGATTCTTTAAGATTTTAAAGGCATGATATATGACTGGTATCTAACTGATATCTGATAGGTTGAAATCTTAATATTTATTCTTTTCTTAATATTTATTTTATTGTGCGCAGGCTTTTATCATTTTCTTCGACACGATAGCCAATCTGCATTCAGCAGAGAAAACTAATCAGTTACATGTAGCCATTTTGTCGCTTTTTATTGTCTTACGGTTATACGAGTAAAACTTTTACGTGCAATCCCTGGTGAAAATTTTTTTTAGAATTTTTCATATAATTTTTCAAAATTTCTATATATTTTTTTAGAATTTCTATAATTTTATAACTTTCTGACATTTTTTTATACGAATTGAAACACTTCTCAGAAAATCTACATCTTTTCTCAGAATTTTTCATATGTGTTAATTATGAAATATCGTAAGATTTTTAAGATTTTTTGCAAGAATAATTTCTGATGAAATGTTAAAAAAATTTTTTTAAATTTAAAAATATTTTTTAAAAATTATGGAATGAAAAATTTTAGAATATTTTAGGATTCACTTGTATGAAAAGTTCTGAGAGATGTAAATTTTTCGAATATTTCTGAATAATTCTGAAAAATACTATATTCCAATTCGTATAAAAATTATAAAAAAAAATTGTCGCCAAAGATGATCTTAAGATTCTTTAAGACCTAAAGATTTTAAATATAAGATCCGACGATGAATATCAGTTTAAGGTTTTCCCATCGTTCTTTGTTCATAAGTGTACCGAGTGCAGATCACATAGGATAAACTTGCGGCGAGTATTATGGCCACTGTAATTTTCAATAATTGGAAAAATTGGCTAAATGGAGCGTTTTTGTAAGCATTTTGAAAGTTTATGGTCATCTTTTCCATCGTAAGACTATCTTACTTGAGTTCACTTTAAGCTCGATCTACATATCACGCAGAACGCGGGTCGCAGGCGTACTTTTGTGGATTGGACTTTACATTGCGAGCGTCAGTATTTCGCATTTCGCGCCGATTGTCAGTCAAAAGCAAATTGCCTTCGCGATCCGTCACGTTTCTAATCGGGAACGAATCACACGCGCCGACGAGCGTCCAGAGCGCCAGGAGTGACGTCGTGCGATGTTTGCATCGCCATGCGTCGCATCAATTCGCGCGCCGATCGTAAATCAGTTGCGAAATCTCGATCGCGTCCCGCGGCCGCCATTTGCAGTTGTTGCTTCGTCGCGGCGTCATGGCGGCTTGTCTTTCGTATTTTAGCGCGTACGGTTGTTGTCTCGTCGCGAGAGTGTCATTCCGCGTCTGATTGAACGCAGAAAGTGCTGGATGTCGAGTGTTTATCGCGTCGCGTGTATATGTGTGTATTTGTGTGTTTGTGGAATATGTATGTGATGCTATCTCCTGTGACCATTATGAGAATAAAGATCCTTCGAGACGACCGATTTGGGGTTTAGGCTGGATCATTTCACCTTTCGGTAAACTTCAACTCACTGTCTCTCTTTTACTCTCTTATGCTTTTACTCTTTTACTCTTTTGTTTATCCAATAGATAAATTATCCCAAAGTTTATCTGAAGATGGAACAATCGGCCCTGAGTCAGTCGTAATGTCATTGTTTGGCGAGATCACCTGAGATCACCAGTTGGCTGTCTGTGGCAATACCGTGGTGAGTGAACGTTATATTTGCCTGACTTATATATATCTCCGTTTCAATGTACATAGTTCAAAAATTTGAATTGAATTTAACATTTTTATGTGCCCTAAATAGTCTACTCAAATTTTTTTGTGTTAATTAATACAAGTTGAATATGTTAGAAAGCAACATAATATTATGTATTAAAAAAATTAACATAAAAAAGTAATACTGGCACAATTTGTAAGCAAATTGTGGAAGCATATTTTTTCAGTAAAATTAACATTTATTATATATATACGTTAAATTGACACGTATTTATCTTAGAGATTATGTTTTAAAATATTATTTTTATGTTATTTATTCACTTACTTATAACTTCTGTTACTTTGACACCAAGAAATATTGAATATCAATTCAGTATTTAAATAATGTAGTCACATTATGTTAAATTAACACTCAAATACGTTAAAAATTCAAATAAAAATTTAACAAGGACTTGAATGAACTCTTGAACACGAATACAAAATATTTTTTATAGTATACTCTGGTGAAAATTTTTCTCAGAATTTTTCATATAATTTTTTAGAATTTCTATATAATTTTTCAGAATTTCTCTTTAATTTTGTAACTTTCTCACATTTTTTACGAATTGGAGCATTTCTCAGAAAATCTACATTTTTTTCTCAGAATTTTTCATATGTTAATTATGAAATATCGTAAGATTTTTAAAATTTTTTATAAGTATAATTTTTGATGAAATGTTACAAAATCTAAAAAATTGAAAAATACTTTTTAAAAATTATGGGATGAGAAATTTAAAAATATTTTAAAATTCACTTGTATGAGAAGTTCTGAGAGAAGATGTAAACTTTCCGAATATTTCTGAGTACTTCTGAAAAATGTTCCAATTCGCAAAAAAATTATGAGAAAAATTTTCATCAGGGTAGCTTTTTTATTAAATAGATTAGCTTTAATCGAATCAACTAACTCTTTATCTTCTTTTTCTAATTCTTAGACTTTAGATCACATTAAACATAAATGAAAAGCACAGGGAATAAGAACAGGAAATAACAGGTTTCAATCAATCAGAAACCTTGTATTCTGTATATAGGTTGAAATCTGTTATTCTCTGTTCTTATTGCCTGTGCTTTTGAATTGTGCATTATGCTTTGGAATTAGAAAAAGAAGTAAGTTAAAAAGTAAGTTAAATCGAAATTAAATAAATGGCCATTAATTTTTTGTCTAAATCATCTATCACAAATGAGCGAAAATCAAATATTTTATCCTCAACTTCATCTAATCGACTAATCTACCATTAATCAAAAGAATTTTTATTATCTGAGAGAATTTATGGATCCTCCAAAAATATAGTTTGCTGATTATAATCTCATACTCGATTTGAATACTTAATTAATTATGCAATAGACTATGCATAATGTCGAGTCTAATTTGACACATAGGACTGCAAATTAATATTAATAACATCTATTAATATTAATATTAATAGATGTTCATTCAGTGACGATAGCGATAACTTAATGCTTTTCATATTGATGAAATTACGTCGAGCTTTTCAAACTGAGAGACATGACATCGTATTCTTAAAAAATAGTGTATAACGAAGGTATATTAGAGAAATCTATAATATATAATACATATACTATATATAATACGTATACTAATATTTTTACATTTTTGTATGCGATATTTTTCAAGAATAAGACTTCTATATTTTTATAATACATTACATTGAAAGAAATATTAAATTTTAATGGACATTTTTGTTTAAATAATTCTAAAAGTAAATATCTACACGTAAATACTAAATGCAATATATCGTGAATATATTATTTGATACAAAAATCATTAACTTAATTTAACTATCACCTTTTTTATTGAATAAATGTTTATTTACTGTAAGTAAATGTTTACATGATACTATTTAAACAAATGTATATTAAGATTTATTAAATGTTTTTTTTAGTGTAGCACGCTAGACATTCGACCACCTGAATCAGAGATCAAAGGAACAACGTAACCTAATCTCTTGAGTTAAACAACATTATTTTTAACGCATATGTGTCAAAATGTAAATCAATTCATTTCTGTGCTTAGTTTCAAAATAAATACGTGAACTTAATAAATAGTAAATTACTTTTGGGTCAAATTTAATACATTTTTTAGAATTAAATTTTTGAACTATTATTTTTATTATGAAATATTGAGTAGGAGTAGTGGCAATTTATAGAAATGATTAAACATAACTCAAATTAGGTTATAATGACTTAAAAAACAATGGAATAATTACAAATTAGAACAATTAACTCAAGAAACACAGAAACTGTATTATATTTGACTCAAATTTAATTTATTATTTACTAAGTGTACGCTAGAGACTCTATAACAGTCTGGCCACGAATAATTTTGTCAAAACAAGAGTGAAAAAGAGAAGGGTATATGTAATTATATACTGTTTCTTTCTAATTTATATTATCTTACTTATTCTTATTGAAGTTGATAAAAATGACGAGCTAATCAAGAGTTTGTTATCTCATGGTCAAATTTTGTTATAAGCTCTCCAGTGTATACATTAATGTAGACGTGGTTCATTTTAAAATAAAAAAAAATGGATTGATTTACATTTTGTCACATGTGGAATTAAAAAGAACATGGAAAAGTTAAAAAGAATAAAATATTATTCAACTCAAGGGACTGGGTTACCATTGTTCCTTTCATATCCAACAGAATGAAAGAGAATCGAAAACAATAGAAATAATTACCACAGATGTAAGTTTTAAAAAAACGTTAAAAAAAATATGCCACGCTTTAATTTTACCATTTAATCATTTCATCTGCGAAGATAATGGAACTCTTCGGAGTTGAAGGTTCAAACCACGGCTTCGCGAGCTCGGCCGTCCGGATATCTCGATAATAATATCGTAAGCATCCCTTGATCCGAACGCGTCTGTGATTCGCGCGGTCCCAACTCGACAGTGGTAGTATACACACGTACAGAGGATCGCATAGAAGCGCCTAGGGTGGCGTCGTCCTCTCCGGAGCCGAGCGGGGTCAAGGGGCAACGGAGAAGGGAGGGTGGAGGGCAGGGGAGGGGGAGAGAGAAACGGGTAGGGCGATAGACGAGGGGTGGAGAAGCGCAGCGGGTGGCGCGCGCGGCGCTCGAGAGCGGTGGTGGGGTCAGCGCGGCAGGGGAAACGTAGCACAGTCGTAGCACGCGGGTTGCCGAGAGTGGCACATAGGCAGGGGTAACGGCCACCACGCCGGTAGGGGTGGCAGTGGATCCCTCGAAAGTCCGACGGTGCTTCTCTCTCTCCACTCTCAGTCCCGAGAGCGGAGCCAAGAGAGGCGGGAGAGCGCGACGCGCACTTCGAACCTCGCTCGCTCGCTCGTCGTATCCGCGCCTCGTATATCTTGTATTCCGCGCGATAACGTGCGGACCGTCGGTGTTACGTTTCGCGTTACGTTCGTTACTCTCTTCCGCGTCTGCCGTGTATGCGTGACGTTTACGAGCGTGACGTCTCCTCGCGATCTTTCGCACACGTCGTTCGTTGCGACCGCGACGTAAGCGAGACGTCAAGGTGTTGTGGAATCTCCGCTCCCTCGGGTTGGTTATTCGCTGCGATACCAGAGAGAGAGTGCGTCAAATGATGCCTCACCCTTTTCGCTGTGCTGTGAGAAGGGTGGACTAATCTTGCAAAAGCAGTGTCGAAAGGATTGCCGTCATCGAGGAAACGTCGCTCACGCTGTCTCCTGGTGAGAGGGGATGATGTGGACGGCCGCTGGACGGCCTTGGAGCAGATGTCCGCGTGTGTTTTATAGAGCGAAGGGTGGACCGAAGCGCAACGATTATCGGAGGAATCTGAATTTTCTTGTTACTGCTAATGAAGTATTGCGACTGACAATGATGTCAGACAGACAGAGAGAGAGAGATAGAGAGAGAGAAAGAGGGAGGGAGGGAGGGGGAAGAGAGAGCTCGTCGTCAATCGACCTCGCGCTGCACCGACTGATCCGAATCGCAAATCCTTGAAACTTTCCGTGAGCTGAGCTTCCCACTTGAAAGGAACGGCGCGATGCTCTCGGTAGAAACACGAGAATCGCACTCGTCCTCTCACGCGAGATCGATCGTCACGTGCTCCAGACGGCTGCCGGAATTCGCGTGCCGATCGCGGAAGCCCGTCACGTGCCTCTCGCCGCGAAGGAGGGTGGGTCGAGCCGCGTCGGGTTCTCGATTATCCTCGCGTTCGCTACCTCGCGGGATGCAGTTCGATTTTCGTGACGCGCGCGCGAATTTTTCTCGTTCCGTTTTTTTATTTTTTAGTTCTTTTTTTTTTTTTAATCTACCTCCATCACAGGACGTTTCAGTGCGCGCTTTCGAAACACGACGACCAAGCCTGCCAACGATGCTCTCGACGCATCCCACGTTACGCACGGATTACGTTTTATCCTCCTCTGTCCAACCTTTGCTCTTCCCTTTTCCTCTCCCCCCCTCCCCTCTCTTTGAAAAAGAGTGCACGCGAGTTTGTGATTTGACGTGAATGGGATTTACGGGCAAAGTGACAGCTCGCTGCCGGTGACGTACGGTGCGTCCTTAAACGTCGATGATACATGTTGTTCGCGATATCTGTCGTCTCTCTCGTTCTTTTTTTTCTGAATATCATTTCGACCCTCCTGGGCCGCGCAAGGGGTGGGGCAGGGATGAGAGAGAACGTGAAACGGGACCCTCGCGCGCATCGGGCGGCCACGGGAACAATCGTAGCGCAGGAACAACACGCGCGTAGACGAGCGGTGCAAGGGTCGTCGGGACACAAAGCAGCCGTGCCATGCATATGCACGAGGGACTTTGTGTACCCAGTTTGCGGCCTGGTGATTACAGGTGGGAATAAACCGATACCGAGAGATACTGTTGCCTAAATACGCGTCGTGACCCACTTCCTCAAGTTTCGGACATCCGCCTCTCCGTTCTGCCGGCGAGGTACCCACTCACCTACCTACCTAAACGTTGCTGGTTTCCCTCGTCTCGTAATGCGAAATATCAACATTTGCACGTAGAAATGTGTGTGTGTGTGTGCGCGCGCAAATACGACGACAAAAGTTAGGCGTTTAATTTTACGAACGACGTGAAATGGAAATATCCCGCGCGAATTTTCAGAACGAATACCGCGTCTCGTCATCTGTTGTTTTAGAATATAGGTTTTGAAAAAATGCCGTGCGAAAAAAAAAGAAAAAAATAACACTCGATGAGATCATATAACGAGATCGAAACGGTTTCTCAGTTATTTCGAGCGATAATACTGATCTCTCAATTGCTGTTTCGTTTTGCTCTACATTTAGTTCGGATGTCCCGATATTATTTTATCTGAACGTACATTACCACGAATATGAAGAACGATAATTTACGAGCGACTTTTTTAATATTCGAAGCACGCGGAAGCGCGTATCGGTGTATCAATCCACAAGTACGACCGACCTGCCGGGACGATCAATTTAAAAGGCCGTCCGTTTGCACGAAACACGAAGATGATTTATGTCCACGTCCGACGCGAATAACGCTCGCTCGCTCTCGCTCTTTCGTACGCGGATTCGGCAGCCGACGGTACGAAATTATCCGAGATATCTCAATTAGCCGCGTAAATCATCAATTGATTCGAAAACCAAACGATAAATGATTCGCGCTGTATCCGCATTTTCCCGACTACGGGATATCATTTTCTACAGAATTTTGCGCTCAATGAAAACGGAGACGTCGCTGTAAATCAGCTGATCGCGATCATCTCGTTTCCGCGCGAGTTGCGATCAGTGATTTCAGACAGAGATTCTGTAAAATCCTATTAAAGATTACGAGTCGATCGAACGTGTTGTGAAATACAATGGCGATCGCAGAGTATTATATATGCGTGCGTATTATTTATCGCGGATTTGAACACTCGTTACACGCACGCGTTTTATTACAATTGGTGTAAATGACGCGTCGATGAAGCAAGTAACTTATAATAAGTATTTCTGATGAAATATTTCATTGCAACGCGTGAAAAATTGCAATATGATAAATACAGTCAACGATATTATTATAATCACGATTCTTTTTTTAAAAATCATTAATTTTCATTTTCATCCATGTAAATTAATTTTAATCTCGGTTCAACTTATCTTCATTTTTTTTTAGTTCTAAGAGTTGTGTTCATTTCTATCAATGTAGATTAACTTTAATCTCGGTTTAATTTACTCTTTATCCTCTTCTAATTCTTAGGCTCGATTGCACTAACGTTACTTCAACTTTAAGCGAGGCTTAAAACTTTCTCCTTCTCTGTCTCTCTCGTTTTTAGAGAGAGAGAGAGAGAGAGAGAGAGAGAGAGAGAGAGAGAGAGAGAGAATGTGTTGTAAGTCTCACTTAAAGTCAAAGTAACGTTGATGCAATCGGATTTTAGAACTAGAAAAAGATAAAAAGTAGGTTATATTAAATATGATATCTTTTAAGATCGTAATGTGAATACACAACAAATCAAAAGGCTCTAGCCTCAAGCTGGATCTTTAATGTTTAAATAATTCCATGTGAATTTATATATTTGTATCCGAATTTCAGTCTTGAAATACAATTCTAACAAAGAACTAGAGCAGTAATGTCATAAATTAAATTGACAGTTTAATAATATTAATTGATAATTTAATAATATTAATGTTTATAAGCATCTTAAAAGATATTACTAATATGATGTTGATAAGCATCAAACCAAAAAAGTAAGTTAATCCAAGAGATTAAAGTTAATCTATATTAGTAGAAATGGCCATCAGAAAAAGATGAAAAGTAAGTTGAACCAAGATTAAAGTTAATCTATATTAGTGGAAATGAGTACATCAAACTTACCGAAGTGATTTTCTTTTAACATATTAATCCGTAAATCACTGTACACGTACATTCAACAAATATTGTGCTTGGCCAAGTAATCTAAGACAGCGGATACATAAACCAGCGGGGACTAAATCTGGCTCAGGAACACGTTACAAGAAGAAACGACCGACGAGCTCTTTCTTCGCCGAACGGAATTCATCTCGACATGTAGTCGCGTCGCTTACAACGCTTTAGTGTCCAAGTTTAACGAGTGTCTTACGGCGACATTACGCCCAAGGGAATTCGACCAGATTCTTCCAAAATCCGATAATCGGGCTGTGCATTCGGCAGTAGTGAATCAATCCGGTTTACCTTAGAGAGAAAACGTACCATCGCGATCTCTTTTATACGCAGGAGATTAGTAGCGATCGCGTTGGGAAGTCGGGTCGTCGATTTCCTGACGCGGAGCTTTTCGCAAATTCCAGATTCCTCGGTGTCGTCTTGTGTCGATTATTGATTCTCGTGGTCTAGCCTGTGAAGTGAAGATTCGCGCTGCAGAGAGAGGGAGAGAGAGAGGGGGAAAGAGAAAACACGACGATTTGGTGCACGAAGAGATGCGCGACGCGGACAAGAGGTCCGATTTTGTCGCGACGGAACTGCAGCTTCCTCGTGCGGTAGTGCATCGTCGATGCTGAATCGCGTGCTTGGCACGTACGCGGTGGTGGTGGTTCTCGAGTGGACTCTTTCGCGCGGATGACAGCTGGACGTTTTCGCCGCGGGGGTGACAGTGAGATCCTCGAGCTCATTGTCAGTTGAGCTGAGAAGAGACGAGTCTCTCGCGTCGCCGAGAGTTCGAGACACGCCGTCGGTGATATCCGACGAGGACTACTGCGCGAATCGGGTGGTGATCTGTAGTGATGCCGTGATGGGCTGCAGCTCGAGATCGTTCTTCCTGACCACGCTCCTCCTCGTGGCTGGATTATTGTCGATCGCCCTGTTCGCCGAGATATCTTGCGCGACACGTAAGTCTCTGCTGTTATATTTATGGGAATTATCGTGAATAAATTTTTCAATTGATTTATAAAAAATTCACTTACGCACTTTAGAAATAATTGTTTTTTCTAATAAAGAAATAGATATAAAATTTTAAATATTTATACGTGGATATTATTAAAAAATTAGGTTATTTGAAAAATAATAGATACGAAAATAATAGAAATGTAAAAAATTAAATTTGGAAAATATTAAAATAAACGTATTAAAATTATTTATTATATTAATTTTAATTTTTATTTTGTTTTTCTCGAAATTTAATGTACGCTGTTTATGAAAATTCAGGGCATGTATTTAAAATATTAATATATTTGACTTGCATTCGTGAATTTTATGATTAATCAATTAAATACGATTTCATTGTTTTTGATTTAATGTGATTTAATCGGCGTAAAGAATACACGGATGCAAACAATGCGAATATTAGTCGAATTTGAATTTTCATATATTTACGAGAATTGACCTTTGAAAATTTTTATTAGTCGGAGCGATAGTCGGAGCAAATTTGTAATTTGTGAAAGATTGCATTTTATTATAAATTTAATTGCAATTTTGATGTAGAAAATGTTAATGATATTGTTGCTTTTATATTCATTATACATATAATAAATGGAGGCACTCGTTAACTTGGCTTTTCACCCGTTATTGCATCTTCTGCCTTTGTGAAACTCTATCGATATTATCATGTTAAGGGCAAGATGATCATATAATGAACGATAAATGCATAACTTGACTGTAGCGCCGACATGAAAGATTTCAGTTACGCAATTCAATAATGCATGTACGCGCGATAAAGACTTATAATGCGAATTGACCTAAAATATTTTATAACTTTTATCCGACGTAAATTTCATGATGTACGATAAAAATCTCAATGCACGAATAAAATTTCTCTTTTATATAACATATAATAACATTTCAACATTGTTTATAGTAACATTTATTACTTAATGTCAAGCTTGGTAAAAGAATTAAAATGATAATAGAGAATGAAAAATGTAAATTAAAATAGTAGAACTCGTAAACATAAAGAATATAAAGCTTTGTCCTTTTTTAATGTAATATTTTGGTATGCAACTCTTACAAATCAAAAAATAATGATAAAAAAGAAAATAAATAGTATTAAAATATTACTATAAATTAAAAATTCAATATTTAAATGCGATTTGGTATTCAACATGATAACTGCATATGCATTGATTTTTTTTCAAAATTTTTGTCGTATATAAATGATTAAAACGAAAAAAAGAATTTTATAATAATTTCTGAGAGAGAATTGACATTTCCGCATGTGGTGGATTTTTCAGGGAAGGAATAGTGTTAAAATCTGTCCTCTCGATTGAAAGCGACGTCCGAAATTATGGCAGATTACGCGAGTGTACTGCCTCGTATCTTTTTTTTCGTCCGCGGTCTTCCCTCTCGAAATACAATCGCGTAATTGCGGGCGATTAGCATTCCGCTCAAGGAGATCGCGGAGATTCCGTCGTATCCGGCCGAGGAAGCCTCTCATTAGACTGCGTACCGGAACTCGATGGGTCTAATTATTTTCCGAGTGCCTGCAAACTCGGAGAGATTCGCGTTTCGGGGGTGATTCGAATCGGGGTCACGCGCATGCATCGATATCCCTTTCTCAGTTTCTCTCTTCGTCTCTCTCTCTCTCTCTCTCTCTCTCTCTGTCTCTCGTCCACATATCTGTTTCCCTTGTACACCCTTAATGCCACGTTCGCGCATGTACCGACACGCGCGTGTACAGCCGCAAACTGTTCCTCTGCTCCTGCACGAGCAGCCATTCCTGAAATAGATACGCGCGAACATATTTCGCGAACAGTGCATGGAAGTTGTGCTCGTGTAAGAAGAAGCATGGACCCGTATCTATAACTTGAAAGTAGTAACATTTACGCTCGGCTTTATGAGTCGTGCGAAAATGTTTATGGCTTTCGTACATACGATAAAAGTTGCCGTAAACACTTATTTTGGTTCTCTCATACGACATCATCGAAGGAATGTACTTTCTGTATCCTTGTATATACTGACAAAGATGCGTATTCGTATTGTAAGAGAGATAAAAATAAATTTGCTAAACAGAGAGAGATATTTTTTATATCTGTTAGGAAAAATGCAATATGAGACACTTTTTTTTTTCTCCGTTATATCAACAATGTAAAAAAATATAATTATGCGTATAGAGATTTGGACGAATTCGACCATATTTATTGAAATATCAACATGATCGAATAATACGAAGCTTATACAAATTTTTTGAATTAAATCCGGCTGGCATTTCAACAATTGTCACGCCGGCTTTTGGAAAATGATTAAAATTGTTAAAAAAGAAAAAAAAAAGCATCGAATGAAAAACTCGGGGATATCGCACGTGATGATGAAATGGCCTGTTTAGTCGAGAGCGTACGTGAAAAGATAGGGACGACGCAACGAAATATAATTTCCCCTTCCTTGCTGTGTCGGATCGCACTGGATTGTCAGGGGTTGAGTCCTCGGTGGATCATGGTGGGTGAGGGAACGCGGTCGCAAACGAGAGGAGCGAGGAAAGGGATGACGATGGCTTCTCGCTCAAAGGAACGCTGAAGCGAATGGGATGCGGACGTCGTTGTCACGACCAGGCGTGAGGTCGCTGATATTCCCTTGTCTTTTATTAAGGAGGGCTTCCTTTCTACGTTTGCGCCGCTCATTCCTCCTTTCACACTCTCTCGTTGCTCTGTTTAGTGGTCGCTGCCGATGTTCTTTTCTATGTGCTTCTCTCTGTCCGTCTCTCGTTGTACCAACACCGCCGCAATATACCCCTGCGAATAATGCTATAATTATTTCTCTGTCCCTTTTTTCTTTACTTTTTGCTTTCTCTCCATCTATCTCTCCCTATCTCTATCTCTATCTCTCCTTTTGTCTAGGTTCATCTTTGTACTCTCCACAAACGATTCTTTGCACCCTGTCCGCCCCGCCATGTGTTGCTGTTTTTTCCTCGTGGTCATTAACGCGCAGCAAACCGTGCGATGAATGTTTAATTTCGACTTCCTCCGCGGTCCACGAGAAATTGGTGGATCGCTCGCACAGTATTTTCGCTGAAATTGAAGTCCGGAAGGTTTCGGATTTATTTAGCGATAAATTAAAAAGCCGTATTAATGATAGTATATTCCCGTGCAATAAAATGAAGTGAGCGCTATAAACGAGAGATATTTAGAACAATTAAACAATCGCGATTTATAAAATAATGAATAAATAATTCGCTAAATTTGAATCAGTGGATAATCACACACTGATATCAGTGCCAAGTATGCCACTGGTAATCTGTGACTATCCACTGATTCGGATTTAGAGAGAATATATCAATTTAAAAGATGATTTCTTTTTCAGAGACGTTTAATATTTTCTAAAACTATTATTCTCAATCTTAAACGATGAGTTCATTCGATGATCAAGATTATGCGTTATAAATATTAATTTTAATTTCACTACGAGGGTTGCTATGATACTGCATCCCCAAGAATGCCTCAAAAAATACTGCTTGATATTGTTCTATATATGAGAGAGAGAACTTTTGGAAGATATCCACGTACAACCTCGTTTCCTTCCTTTACTTCTTCGGTTCTTCTCCCAGAAAACTTCCTTGCTCTTTTTTCCCCGACCAAGCGATCTTGTCGTCTCGAATTCTTTGCGTTTATTCTGGACCTCTCTTTGAGATAGTATGTAATTATATTTGTCCCGGTATATAATACAGTGTTTTTTTTCCTCCCCTGTCATTATGTAGGCATTACGTACTTCAATAAGATACGTTTGATTTTACAGAGGAATAGCAGCACATAGAGGCTTCGTTTTGATCAAAAGCGTCGCTTTAAGAGTCCGCGTCCTACGCCACCTTTCAAAGTACCTTTTTTTTTTATGTTGTAATATTGGCTTTTGTAAGAACGCATCCAACCGTTATAGATATATCTTAAATGTTACACGCTTCGTTCTTCATCTATTTCGCTTTATAGTTAGCTATCTTAACCGTGCTGCTTTGTTCGATATTTTTCTTACTTCACGTTTCTTATTAAACGTGGTACAAATAAATACCATTAATGATGTGATCATTTCTAAGATGATAACGAGATACGTTTGTGTTCCTTCGCACCGTGTTCTTTATTACTACTAACTCGTCTGTCTACGATCTCTCTCTCTCTCTTTATGCAACACCATATTTTTACATTCTTTATGTACTTTCGCGGTCTCTCGCTTATTATGCCTTCCTCTATTCTTCTGAGTGGACATCACAGTTTCCACTGTTTCATTTTCTTTATCATGTTCTCCATTTCTCTCTCTTCCTGCCTTTTGGTGCGAGGTTTCCTCTCGCGCGTTTCACTCTATAAACTATATTTCTATTTCGCGACTATTCTTACATTTTTTGTAGATACCCATTACTGTCGTGTATGTCGAGATTTTTCAAAGCGTGACACGGATTCGCAGGTAGTATCCTAGACTGTCTCACTTTCTGGGTCACTCTCTCTCATCCCTTACAAACGTCGCAATAAAAGTTTGCGACTTCTTCGTAACGCGGGCACACCTGCGGTCTCCTCTCTCTCTCTTCGTGTGTTCTTCGCTTTACCCTCGTCCCATATCCGACGAGATTGATAACGCATCTTTTTATAGTTCGGATCGAACGGGGCTTTTTGTCGCTCGTTGAGGCGTCTCGCAAAAAAGTCGGTTCCGTCATCAGCAACGCCGCGGAAATCCGTGTAAATGCGTCGTCGATAATCTAAATGACGCGAAGAAATCTCTTTTCTCTCGGCGGCTACCACATTTCACGAAGAATGCAAACGGGAGAAAAAAAAATTGAGTGAGCGCGCTGGCTACATCGAGCGAATGCGAAAATCGATTTTAGTCGCGCTCGACTTTTATACCGCGTGCAAATAAACGCTCGTTACAGGCGGCAAATTTTTCCCAGTTTCGTGCTTTAACGAGTGACTTATAGGCAGTA